ACAAACCAATGGTTTCAAATGACAGCCCCAACAAGGTCTCAGTGTTCTGGCGTTGTTTACTATATTTTTAATGTCTGCACACATGGCAAGAGAACAGACATCAGATACGATTTATAGCTCCACATCCAAAATATTTTTAACTCAAGATACCGGCACCCTGAGTCAGCAAATAGTTATTCATATGAACGGGTGCATTTCAAGGAAATAACTGACATATCGAAAGTAAGTGATGTATTGCTGGAAACACATTGTTCATCTTATCCAGTTGACTACACATACATTCCCTCTCACCCGCCCCCTATAAATGAGTCACACAAAACTGAGTTCTGTCTGCTTTCAATCAGTATATTGAAGAAAATCAAACTGGGACTCTTTCAGGTAATAAAAGTAGACCCGAGATCATATTGATCACCTGAATCAGCTGTATGTTAGTGGACTGATGGGCTCACCTCATGTGGACAGCTCTCACAGGGCTGGAAATGGCAGAGCCCTCTGGAGAGCTGCTCTGGTCCAGACTCGCAGCAGTCATCCACCCCATCTACGATTGCTTTGTTCACGTTGTCCATGGGGAAGGCGCACAGGGCAGAGTCGTGCTCCGTGACCCCGTTGTCATCAGTGACAGCAAAAACCCCATAGAGAATGTCATCCTCCTCCTCCGCCCCTAACTCCTCTGCCAGCTCCCTGCCTGCCTTGCCAAAATGGGCCGCCTGGACCACATTGTACACCACATCCTTATAGGGTTCACTGGCTACGTTCCTCCGCCGCCGTTTTGGTTCAAACCGACATTCCAGGATGACCTCACGATACCTCTTCATCTCCCATTCATTCCGTGGGAGACGGCCCAAGCGAGTCTGAAACGGAGATGAGTCCTGATCTGGACTCTCTCTCTGAACTGAGAGGAAGTAGACAAACTCCTGAGTGAAAAAGCTGTAGACATATTCAATATGGTATGTCCTCCGCAAGCCTGGAAGGACAGTCAGGCCACGCACGTCACTGTAGAAACCATCTTCTGTGGCCAGTGGTCGACGCACTGATATAGACTTCCTTCCATATCGCTGGGTCACACTGTCATTGACAGTGGTGGCGACAAAGAAGTAGACTGTCTGACCCTCTTCCACCATGGTGACTTTGGTACCAAGAGGGCTAGCCACACAGTCAGGACAGTAGGCAGCAGAGTTTGAATCCTTTCTGAACAAACACTTAGAAAGAGAAGGCGCCTCTCCATTTGACTTAAGTTCATGGAAATAGCATACACCATACTGAGAACTTCCACAAGAGTATAAATACATAAAGAGAGTATCCAGTAGCAAGACCTGATTGTCTGTGTCCTCCAAGAAGTTGGGATCCTTGTCCACGTCACACAAATCGCATATCTGACACTCTGGGCTTCCCACCGGTCCAGTGCGGAGCTCCCACACCTTCTCCAAGCTTCTGTTGACAGCTTCAATCACATTCTGAGAGGCAACATACACCTCCTGGTAAAATGAGTTGTTGACTATGTTCTGGATAGGGCCCCGGGCCTGGAAGAAGGGCATGGTGTAAACCAAAGAGAAGTTGACTTGGCTAGGGGCATGTAAGGAACAGTTGGCCACGGTAAAGGCCAGCAGAGTCTGGAGCCAGACACATGTCCCCCACTGTGTGGTCCAGTGGACCATCTCCACTCCGGGGTTCACAGGGGGCAACAGCACAGACAACGTGGGGTTACCTCCAGGTCTGATGCCGGGACAAAAGCATCCTTAACACCAGCTGTTACCTGAATGAAAAGAAATTACAACGTATGTCCTAAGTTATTAAAGAAATGATCCTCTACAACATAAATGAAACCATTCTTACCCTGAAAACAGTTTGAATGAAAGTTAGATGAAAATATTCTGTTCAATATGAAGCTGCAACCAGGAGACGGGGGAAACAGCTAACCTGGCTTCATCCAAATTGACATTGTAATTTCTGTACGAATGAAACATATTAGATAGAACTTCAGTTATTAGTATACTAATATATTAGTTGATAAGTGCAATATTTATACCTGAAAAATCAGTGTCAGTGTGCTTTATTATGTTCTGCACTGAATCCTAATAGATCTGAGGTGACAAATATTATTATCATGGTTGAGCCAGATGATGATAAAAGTGCATGTGGTCATAAAGATAAAAGCTTCCTCTGACTCAACACAAACACTGAGAGGAAATGTTTACATAATCAAACAGAGAGCTGTGTTGGCGGTGCTCAGCATAGTAGACAGCGGGTAAGACTATTTTTATTGTGATTTCCTGCACAAGTCCTTCTTAGCTTATCTGCCTGGTCATGTTTATTCTGGTAAATCCAATTAGTCATGATTTTATGCAAGATAACAGGTAGCAACAAACCAAGTTAATGGCCTTAATTTGACATTGATGCCCCAAATGTACCAAATCAAAATGAGCATTTTTCAGTGGCTCATCTTCATCAGTCACTGAACAACAACCAACCAAATGGAACCATGTTTTAAACTCCGAGCTTCGTCTTCCTCCTAAACAGACGTTGTTGGGTGGATCATTAACCAGACACATTACGGTAAGACTGTATTCCTGTCACAACCACTACGTGCCTTTCAGGGGGAAAGATGTGCACGGACTGATGGTCATAAGACCACATGTGCCTTTTTAAGTCCCAGGTGAAGAAGAAACGGCTTGTCTGCTCGTGCCGAAGAATTTCATCAACTCTGATTATTTTATTTAGAAGCACAGAACATTTGCTTTGACCAGAATTCTTTTAGAAAACAGCACTTATTCTTGCTACAAGCAGTCATATGGAAAAGTTTGAAGTCAAGACACTGGTGTCTCTGCATCAATAATTCATAGAGTCCCACTAACGTTGTGTTACATTTTAACATTTGCAGCTCCATGTGAAACTGAGGTTAAGGTTAGAGGACATGGGTATACATAGTAATGGCACTGATTGACTTTCTTCATGTTCATGGTTAATAAAGCAAATGGCTGAAATTGAGTTTCCATTCATTGTACTATAGTGCTATTTACAGACTGCATCAGTGTATTCCCTCACAGGTGAATTAAAGATGCAGTCATAGTGAGAACACCAGGTTCCTTAGTTAATAGAACATCAAACCAGACTTCAAGCTAAATAGGATTGTGATTTATAGTCAATGTACCTGTCTCATTTTCCAAATATACAACATTTCATTACTAACATTTACTTAAAACAACAACCTGCAAGACTACAGTGAGAGTGTGCAGGTACTCCATTGACTGCAGTATGCAACCGCTTTTATTGGATCAGTGCCTTGCTAACAGGTTCTTCGGTGGCAGTTAATTAGAGTAAGAAAGAGCATCTCTCTTTCATTAATCACTGCACAGATATCCACAGGGACCTGGAGAGGCAATCTGCTGTGCGCACAATCAATGGTCAAAACGTATTTTACCCCAAGGACACATGTATTGATCTAGTGGAAAAGGAAATGCATCCCAAACCAGTACAGAAAACCCTGACATCAGCTCTGCAAATATTAAATTTTTTAAACAGAAGTAAGGATGATTTATTTGAGTTTTTCTTCAAAAATAAAATCTGAAAATTGCACAGAAGCAGCATCATTTTTAGCTTCTTGTCCTTTTTTATCTTTATGGAAGTATGTTTTTGTTTATCTTCTCTCCATGTCTGTGCTCCTGTTTAACATCTACCTTAAGCTCATTGAAATCTTGCCAGTCCATTCTGGCTCCAGTCCACATGTCAGATGGTTTTTGATACCATTCAGCTGCACTAGATGTGAAAGGAGAAACAGGAGAACACTTTTCTCTGTGAGGAAGGCACTGTGGTCGACTATTACGCATACTGTACTGAGAATGAATCCAATTCTAAATCTACACTATAATATTTAAAAGTATCCCTCTCCCTGATCACATCGACATGCCACAGCACTAACTACCATTTCAACACGCAGCCTACATTGCAATTAAAACTCTTATTAAAACACTAAGGCTGGTTTAAATGCTGTAAGTGGTGCACAGTAAGGACTTTAACAGCTTTGTGACATTTTAATCTTCTGTAATAGTGTCAGTTTTTTTCTGAGGAACAGTTGTTCACATATAATGGCTGTATGTTTGCTTTATCTGAACAACTACTACTACTGAACTACTGAGATATTTAGCAGTGTCAGCTTCTTTTCCAGCCTGTCTTTCTATATAAAATATGTATGTTACATGCAGCTTTGAGTGTTATGAAAACCTACCTGCACAGGTTACTTACTCTCCTCTTCAGGGAAGCAGCCACTGCCAAGGTGTTTGGTCCTTCTCTGACTTTAGAACTGCGCGGTGGATGGTTGATCTTTCCTCGGGTAGATTTTGAACACTACACGATTAATTTCTACTATAGCCTGTGCGTCCTCACAAAGCGCTGGAACATAAACAGACACAAACTCTGTTGGTTTCGGATTTAACTTCAACTCCCAGAATGAGTCGCTCTTCTTCCCCTCAAGCAGCGCTCCAGCTCGCTCCTCCCCTCCACGCTTCAGACGGACAGACAGCAGCCCAGACAGAGCCCATTCACCCACACACCTCTCCCGGTGACGCACACGATGCCTTACGTTGATGCAGGTCGCCCGTGGACGTGCACTTTTCTTTACGTGGCTGGTTGTTTTCTGTCTGGCAACCAATTCCAGATTACCTACTGTACAGCTCGGCCCTGTCGCTCTCACTGTTCCTCACTGGAACACACCAGCAGAGCCACTTGCATTATTTTTTTTTTTCATCCAAGTGTACAGCTTCCTTATTGTTTAGGCAACAGGGCAGCATGTCTACTGTTTGTCTTATGTTGGTCTCCTGAAGTGTGATGGTAGACACAAAATAAACAATCCTAGAATACATTTCACAACATGTATGGGAGAACAGTAAACAAACTGATGGTATCATCAAACTGGGACTGCAGTAGAGCTGTAACAACAGGTAATATTACTACCACCATGCTGACTGATAAAAGTAAACAAACACCACAGTCAAGACACAGAAGTGTGTGTTTTCTTTCTAGCCATTTATTTATTTATATATATGATAATTCTGGAATTGTGCAGCAGCTATAAATCTGCACTGTTGCAACCTTATTGGCTTGGACAATGACTATTAGATAAGGCATGATTAGTGGAGGCAGATGTGGCAACGTTGGATTCCTTAAGCTAAGTTGGAACCCATGAAATAGAGTTAATCTTTATGATTAGACACAAGCTGATAAAATAAATCATAAACAAAAATGTGGGAGGGAAAATGTCTGATGGACACTGGAGGATTAAGAGACTTACATTTAGATTCCTTTACACTGACATTAACAATACATGTTAATACAATCAAATGACAGCAGTAAACAGGTTACAGACTCATGAAACACTTTTCTCTTGGCGTGTCTTTTGCATAAACAAAGTGCATAGAGGCTCTTGTTGTTGGTCGTTATGTAAAAAAAAAAACACAACAGGAATGTAGTTAACACATATATGACAGCAGGTCTTATAACAAGATAATACATTCTACTGCAGGTCTTCAGAAAATTACAGTTTTTGATTTCAGATTTTATTCTTGATTTTTAAGAACTAAGCTAATAGCATTTAAAAAAAGACAGGATTTTTCTTATTCTATCCAAAATAGGTCTACTAAAACAATCATCTATGAAATTATCTCAACAGCATACAAACACCCTCGTTCATGTTGTTATTGTGTCATCCATTATGTGGATGCTGCTTCCGTCTGTTAATCCAAATCTTAAGTCATAAAAAAATCGAGCCAGATAAAATACTGTTTTCACTTCCTCATTGCACAATCTACTGCATCACCCAATTAGATCAGAGGAGCCCCGAAGCAAGAAAGCATAGTTTTGACAATCGTTTCTTAACACTGAACTGACTGCTGCATCATCCACAGCTCTTGTTAGCATAAGGCCTGTCAGCGTTCAGGGTGATGCTTTTTGTTGCGGGAGGTCAGCTGAAAGTGAGGACTCAGTATGTGAGAGGACTCAGGATGAAGAGGCGATCCTCCTCCTTCCTGATCCACTTCAGCAGTTTGTTGACAGCAGAGACAGCCAGGGCCTTGGTCCCCAGCGGACTGAAGCAGAGGTAGAGCTCGAAGCCACTTGTCACCTTTGGGACAGAAGGTAGAACGAGGCGAGGCGTGAGACAGGGCCGCTTAAAATGAGCATTAGAGTAAAAAACAACGCTTAATGCAACCTGCTAAATTCTTACCTTTAAACACAAAATGAGGTCCACTTCATATGAGTACAAGGTTCGATGCTTATTACTAAGAGTACAGATTATCATTCCAGCATGTGTCTGCAAGCATTTCGCCTGATTTGAACATTAACTTTGTGAGTGAGTAGTATTACTACATAATTGCTGCTAACTTCTGTTAGTCATACCTTGCAGAAGTGCTGCAGTGGTGGAATGGAAAAAAATGGAAAATTGCTCTGTAGTGTCTGTTATAGTAGTGTTAGTTACAGTTCAATGTCATATGCTCTCCACTGTATTCTAGATTATTAAACATACAAGAGATGGAAGTATCTAATGTTGCGCTCGATACAGAACAGTAAACCTATTCAATACAAACTCCAGGCTCTAGAAAACATTATCTATTATTTATCTATTGACAGAAGTTTTCAAAAAGCATTCGTAGTAGTGCAAGGCAATATAGCGGATAAGCTGGTATACCAGTTTTAATTTTTCATCTATCACCATGGTTCTCGGCACATGGCTGAAACAACTGCTGTGACTCATTTCTTTCAAACTGTTTCCTGCATTCTGATGCCTTCATATATTGTATCATTTTGTTGGGTCAAGAAAACCCAACAGTAATCAAAGCTTTCAGTATATATATGATTCCATTAATATGTTTTTGTATTCTATGTACTACTGACAATAGAATAATACACTAGAAACCTATATAAAAAGGCCTAGTCATGCAAAAAACTAAATAAAACTTTAAAAAAGCGATATACCATGAAACCGCCAGAATCTTAGTGTGATACAAACTTTTAGTTATACCAGCCAGAACAAATTCTTAGTCTACCTTTTTTCAAATACTCACTTCTGCTTAAATTGACAATTTCTTATCATTGCTATCTATTTGATCATGAGAAAATGACCACTGCAGACAGTATGGATGAGAACTACCGGTAGTTATAGTTTGACCCCTTTTTTAATGCAACAATGATTCAAATTCAGAGACAAACATATACAATGTAGTAATACAAATGTAATACAAGTAGTGCGTGAGGCAATTCCTAATTTCATGTTGTGTGAAACTGAAACTCTTGTGAAAATTGAGCCAGAGAAGATACTAGAGATAGATAACATACTGTAAAACACTACGTGGATCTCATGTCACAATGCCAGACTTACCCACGCCAGCAAGTTTTCAGTTTCACTGCAGCGGTAGAAGGAGCGGAGAGGTCTGGTTGGATGATGCAGGTGGCTGTGAAGGTCTTGGTACAATCCCATCAGCCGTTCCTGCTCTTCATCAGACTGGTACATTACAGGAAACTCTGGACTGGAAGAAACAAAATAATTTATTTTAGTATTTTGTCGATACCTGAAGATTTGCAAACAAAATGACACTAATTGTGAAGCTTGTAGCATGTTTCTTAATGCAAAAACCACGACATAAACCGAAGTATAACTCAGAAGACGTCCTGCCCACCTGGTGTACAGCCCTGAGCTCTTTGATTTGTACAGGAAGTGCCTGAGCTCCGGGATGCCGACCTGCTCCACAGAATAGCTGGGACATTTAAGTGCCTCCTTCAGGGCCTGGTAGGCACTGCGCTTGCTCAGTCTCTCCAGGAACCGCTGCTTGCAGTCGGACATGTTAAAAAAATCCTCTCTGTCGGTCGAGACCAGGATGAGGCAGAGCTCGGATGCAGGCTCCAGGTAAGAAATGTGAGCATGGAAAAATCCCGCAGTGTTGAACTTTGGCAGACAGATGGGCGTCCAGCCTTCGCCCTCTCGAAAGGACGAGGAGGAGCCAACGAGGTTAAAGACCAGGTGCAAGTCTATGTGGTGCAGGAACTGGTCCTTTTTCCTCACTAGAGTAACCAGGCGGTCCCCAGCCAGCAGGATGGAGAACACCAGGTTATTGGCTTTGGCGGCCTGCAGGCTTGATGAGACCACGTCCCTGGCGGAGCTGGCCAGAGGCAGGCAGGTGACGGCGCTGAGCAGCAGACCGGGGTCTCGATCCAGCCGATGCAGCAGGTTATCGGTGAGATACTCGGAGCCAGCCAGCAGGCGGCGCAGGTCGTAGTTCTGCTTGTGCTGAAAGATGTGGTTGAGCTGGGTGAGGGTGAGCAGGCTGACGATCTGGTAGTAGATGTACTGCAGCTCCCGCAGCAGCTCCTTGTCTGACTGACAGGTTCGAGACACACCCACCAGGACCAGAGGGCTCTTGGCGAGGAAAACCACTTTACAGCCGTCTGAGACACAAAACGTTCACAGAGTTGGATCCAACATATTTCATAAAATGCACTTTTACTTATGAACCACATCCTAGAAGCAAAGCATATTCTGACCTGCATGGATGGAGCGGATGATGTTCTTCTCGGCCTCAACGAAGGACACAAGGGCCATCATCACCCCCATGGTGCTGGACAGAGCCTCCTCCGTGCCATAGCGGGTGTAGATTGGCTTTCCAGCCTCGCTCAGCACAAACACGTGTTTCCTGTGACTCCTCCACGCCTCACTGGACACGTCTTCCTCCTTAGTCCTAGTCTCCGATGAATGGTCGTTGTTGTGCTGCTCCTCTATGGTTTTCTCTCCCACCAGCACTGTGACGTCCCCTGCACACTCGCCTGATTTGTCCAGTTCAGCCTCCCTACCAGCCTCAGCCTCAGCAGTCAGATCCTCGAAAGACTGCGCATGGACGAACATAGCACTCTTCTGACCGGCACCTGCATTAAGGTAGGGGTAAGTGTCAGTATAATGCATGGATTTGTAAAGAATAAATAAGTGAGCCTATAAAAACTATAAAGCCCTGTTAGGGGCTGGTTTATTTTGAGTTGTAGCAATGGTTCCTTTAGAGAAGCTCAGGGAAGCGGCTGTGTACTACTCTTTCATGGAGCCTGGGCGGTTAACCAGACGTACCAAACCACTTAGTCTTAATCCATACAGTCTTTTCTCACACAAAAAAATAATAAACAAAAGTTTGAAAACACTTCCAATAAGTCAGAAACTTCCATTGTTCGAAAACAAAGTTGAGATCTTTACTTTATAAGAGAGTTTTCAAACAATATTTTTAAAAAAGGAGTAAAAGAATTCAATGATCGAGACCGACTTGTTGTTTTGCAAGTGTACGTCTGGTTAACTCCCCCACCCAACCGCTTCCCTAAGCTTTTCTATGGGAGCCATCTAGGACTGTCCCACAAGCGGGGCTAATGTTGTCCAAGACAGATAGCTGACAGTCCACAAAAAGTTCCAGTGAGAGATACAGTCAATCTCTGACCACAGCTTAATCTAATTCAGAGAAAATAAAGTGGGAGTAGAATGGGACATGTCTGATAATAAGTCAGTTAGACAACACTGCAAAAATGTTTATCTCTAGACTTAGTAGAGCAAATCCAGGAACAGTTACATCATTTCCTCTGTCAGAGTTGGATTTGTTCAAGCTGGATGTGACAGACACACTTTCACCATGACACTTTCTTCTACAGACTTTAGTCAGGAGATGTCTGTGATTACAGTTCTCATGAGAGAGAATGGTAGCATTTCCTTTTCATTCTGTTGGTATGGCAAGGTCACATACATTTAGAGAGATTATTACTATTATTACACAGACCACCAAAACTAATGATGCACTCTGGTGCTACAGTGTCATTCAGATTACAAAAGACACAAATTCTTGTGGTCATATGTTCAACATTTCTTTGCTTAAACAGGATGTGCATACTCATACAGCATATTGCATGGTTATAACGTAGTCGAATGGAGAAGTCACTAATTTAACAATGTTCTATTGACAAGATCAAGACAAGTCATTCTGGTTTTTGTGTCAAAGTGTTGCCCAGCAACAGTTGGGCAGTAGGAAGTCTTCTGGTGGAACACTTTTCACGCATGAAGGAAGTTACAGAAAAGTATTACTCTCGTGCTTTAAGCATGTTTTTGTCATGATACAATTACGTATAAACTGAAGGTCCTTATTACTATTACTATTCATGCTAAGCCTACTGCAAAGATTTGTGTTGTTTTTTTAAAATATGGCCAGATTTAGAAAAGGTTTTGACTAAATGCTAAAAGTTTAATTGTGCAACAATGAACCTTTACAGCAGAGTTATTGTTTAGGATTCAAGAAAGTAGATCTCTTCCTATCCATGGACTGAAGCATCACCTGCCCAACTGGAAGCAGTTTCTTTGAATAAGATGTACTGTAGTGTAAACGTTATCCCCGTGTACTGTAAACATCTTTGATGTTTTGTAATATAATCCCATGGGGGATGGGCCAAAAGATGGGATGACAGTAAAAGGACCAGTGTGTCAGATTTAGTAGCATCTACTGATGTACTTGCAGATTATACTCCCCTCACCTCACCCTCCTGTTCCAAGCATGTAAGAGAAATCACAAAAAATACAAAAGTCCCTATCTAGAGCCAGTGTCTGGTTTGTCCATTCTGGGATACCGTAGAAACATAGCAGACTCCGTAGAAGAAGACCTATTCCCTCTGTAGATAAAAAGGGCTCATTCTAAGTTACCGAAAACACAAGGATTGTTACTTTCAGGAGATTATACACTAATGAAAACATAACTTTGAATATTATATTCCATTTCTACCAATAGAGCCTCCTAAATGTTACACACTGGACCTTAAATACTTACTTCAGACCTTAATACTACATTCATTCATCCACTTATCAAAGTGTAAACCTGTCCAAACCTACAGTCTTTGAGTTGATGGTGGCTATATGCTGGGATTTACTTGTTGCTGTAACAATGGGGCATTTGAGATCACACACACAACACAATCCTCTCAGAGAGACGACCATTACGCAACGTTTCAGATGATCAAGATTTATATGACACTTGACTGTAGGTCTGTCTGACAACAGACCAATGCAACTGACAATCTGCAGAAGATGATGAATGTGGACCGGCCTCACCTGGTTCAGTTCCCTCCACCAGACCTGGTGTGGGGCTGTCCGCCCTCTCAGAGCGAAGGCGGTCCACAGGGGCCAGGGTACCATTCTCCCACGACACAGCCGCCCTCTGGGCTTCTCCATCCATCACTGCTACTTATGGCAGGGACACACACCTGGCAGCAAAGACAGACAGAGGGCTGTGGGACCAAAGGTGAACAGTTTAATGACTGAGGCTATGGTTGAAGATCAAGCTGGTTATGATGTACCTTTATAGCCACCAGTGCGCCAGTCATTACAATTTTATGGTCCGACTTTAACCCTTTTTATTTCTGATAAATGTCAGTCTCACTCTTGTTGCTTCAAGCAATATCTGGTGTCATACTGAATGGAAGACACAATAAGAGACTGTTGTTATAGAGTTTAATATTTCTCCCTCAGGTTCACATCCTCCTTCCTTATACAGTTCATGTCTCTATTGTTGTTCCACACCCTTCGGACCCAGTGAGACTGGTGATATGCTGTCTGAGAACTTCCAAGGCTACTTTGGTGGCTAACTTTAGCAGATAATCAGCAGCAAGTAACGCTAGCTGTGTCTGCCTTCATCCTGACAAAGAGCCCTCGTGACAGGTTTTATTAATGACTAATTAATTATTACCTTTCATGCCCGGAGCTGTCTGCATTAGGTCGTTATGCTCCTCACCTCGTTGGTGACATTAAACGTTACTGCAACCAGCTCAAAAGACAGAAGTGGGCTATTTCTTGCTAACGGTAGTCAACATGCCCTGCTAGGTTGCGGAAGTAAGAATTGTGGGATTTGTAGTTCTCTTCCAGGGATCGACTCCGGCTCTGGAGCAGCAAACAGGCAGTTTTAGCTTGAATCAAATCAAAATAATTTGAAGAGTTAATTTGGAAATATTTGTAAATAAGTGTGGTAGCTGCACGTGGCGTGTTGGATTATATCTTCTTCTTCTTTTAGTATTTGATCTTAATGGTGCATTCACAGCACGTCGGACATCCGATAACTACGCTCGCTAATAGTTTTCAGTCATGTGACTGGCGCGAACAAAATAGGATACTCCTTTCACAGCCTTGTAGGCTTATACAAAATATACTGTCAGTGGCTTATACCGAAACACAACGCCATAAATCTACATGCACCCGACGTATGTATTTAAAGGATGCTACATCAGGTCCCCAGTCCAGCCGTGCAAGGCATCTAATGACATTTATAACTTTTTCTTTTTCACCTATCCACAGTACTTTTAACATGATCACTCAAAGTTAACCTGGAGTCAAAATATTCTCCTCAGTAAATTAAATCAACTGTCTTTAAATTATTTCTATCAAGTTTCCAATTAGTATTTACTCTCTCTAGAAAAAAACGCAATTTTAGTCTGAAAACTGGCCTTTTGCTCTCCACGTGGGCTTTCCTATAATGTGAAGACATGTGACATGTAGCAATTACAGAAGAAGGATGAGAACAAACATTCAGATTAGATCAAATGAGTAGTGATAAGTAAGTAAAACGAGCAGCACCTGAATGCATCTTAAGGGGCGGGACGTTGCACGTTTGAACGTACAGCGGGGAAACGGAGCAACCATTGTGTTTGTGTTAACGTTGACGGGCTCTGTCTCATAGAGTCTGTTGAACTGGGTTAAAATGTCATACTGCACACAAGACTGTCGACGCTTGATTTCATTAGGAAGGACTGCGCACTAACATCTCGTATTCGCTTTGTAAGTATGGCGACTGTAAAGGCAGCTGACTTCAGCGGAAGCTCACTAGTGTTAGCGGAGTTAGCTAACAGTTACATGTCAACGCAACGAGTGCAGGGCCACTAAGTGTTTGCTAACACTGACGCTACAGCTTCAGCCAAGTGACATGAGTTATGTATCTGTTAGCCTACTCACACGGACACTGTTGTGCTTAGGGGGGGAGAAGTAACGTTACACTATCAAGTAATATAGTAATACGGGGTTTCTGTACTCTTCCTAACAGGGCGACCCTTGTGGCAGTACGATGCCTATCCGAGCGTATTGCACGATTTGCTCCGATTTCTTCGATCACTCCAAAGATGTTGCTGCCATCCACTGCGGACACACTTTCCACTATGACTGGTAATCTCAGATAGATAGTCAAATCTCCAACAACACAACACATTTCTGACGTTTTCAATGGGCTGTTAATTGTTCCCTTCCCCCTCTCTTCTCAGTCTTGTCCAGTGGTTTCAGACAGCCCCCACAAAAACCTGTCCACAATGTAGAAAACAGGTACAGTAGCTGCTGGTAGCCCACACTGAACCAACTTACCACCCAGAAGAAGAACATGAACTGAATGATTGATTGTTGTGCTCTGTGTGTAGGTCAGTACCAGACACATCATCAACAAGCTGTACTTTGATATTGGTGGAGAAGAGGAGGCTGCAGCGGACCCCGAAAGCTTGCAGGTACCAAACTTAAAGCATCTAAACAGTATGTCTGTCTGTTTTTACTTTTTAGTCTTACAACCCACACAAATGCTACAGATAGTCTTCCTATTAGATCGCTAGGATTTGATTTGGATATATTTTGTTGTCATTGTGTCTTTCTCTCTTCCTTTTAGAATGAGCTTGATCGAATGAAGGCGCTTTTAAGCTCTAAAGGTAAGAAACCTAACTATGCTGTGATATGGTGATGCTTGATTGATACAAGTAGGCAGCACTTGTTCATCATCCATCGGATCAATTTGTAGAGCGAGACTGGCGGGACAAACAGAAGATGGTGGACGGTTTGAAGGACACCGTGGACAAGCAGCGGAGAGACCTGGACAGTGTGCGCAAAGAGATTATGGAAAAGGACATGCTCTGTTCTGCCCTCAGAGTAAGCTGACTGCTCTCTATTGTTTAAACCAACTTTCTGTACTGATTCATGTCTCTTATTGTCACTGTAATTAGTTTTTTTAATTGTATATAATATTTTTGGACTTCTCATAGAAACAGATGACATACCTGGAGACACAACAGAATGAAGCTCAGGCTGCCAAGGACGAGGCCCGGAGACTCAGGACCAAAATGAAAACCTTTGAAAGGTATCTGCAGTCCTATAAGTACTGTTATATTTAGGCTTCTAAGTAGGGTCACACTATTGCTCACCATACTGACTGTTCTGCAGATGTCACAAAGGTTTTTTGATGATCTTGAGTAAAATAAATCTGCAATGCATAGTCTCTTCTTTTTATTGTAAAAGGAAGTAATACTCATGCACTAATACTGCTGGTTTGGGCCCCAGCCTGGGTGTGTTGTTGCAGGGCCAGAGAGCAGAGGTGGAGTCCATGATCACAGATATGGGTATCAGCCAGGCAGCAGTTGAGCAGCTCTCCATCTACTGTATCTCGCTCAAAAAGTAAGGAGCCCGAGAGCTGTTGATCACTCAGTGACAGATCATTATGACACCACATCGTGTAGAGCTTCAGTCCTAATGAATGCAACTTCCCTGTCGTCCTGTTTTTTTTAGAGAGTATGATAATCTGAAAGGAACCCTGAAGTCTTCAAATGACATGTGTGAGAAGCTGAAGAGAGAAGTGCTCGCCTCAAACAACAAGGTAACTTGATGTCAGTGAGTCACCACCCAGAGGAATCAATTCTTGTATGTGGGATGTCTAAATCAAAGTTGTTGTTTTTTTTTTGGGGTCATTTTAGTTACACAAAGCCTCAGTGGAGGTGAATCAGACCAAAGAGGAAATGAAGTCTCTACAGAACGATCTGGCCAATGCGGATAAGGAGATCTCTGTAAGGGAAACCCACCAAATGTGCTTTTACTTTCAATATCAGAGAAAGCCATGGTTTTCATCCCTGCATGTATGTGTGTCCGCAGAGTCTGAAGAAGAAAGTGGAGTTTCTTCAGAGGACCCTGAGCACCCCGACACGGACAAATGAAGCCCTCAGTCGCCTCGTCTTTGAAAGGTGTGTGCCCATCCACTGGACTGAAGTCTCTGCATGCTTTTACTTTCCTCAATGAAAACATCAACTATGTGCGATTTATTCATGAGGTTTCTCTGCCCATCGTTCAGCCCGGCCCCAATGGAGCTGAAGCAGCCTCGCCTCCACCATCCCTGCAGGCAGCGACATTGACCTCAATATGACTTATGACATCACTACGCCGGATGATGTGGCCAAGAGACCGACGCAGGTCCCATCCAAGAAGATGCGGCTTGACCGTCCGTAAGTTTAACAAGGCTCATTGTGGGAATGTGTATCTCAAATTAGAGAAAGTAGAAATGCCTTCAAATGTATTGTAAAATGCTTTATCTTTCAGGTCATCCAAACACAGCGACAAAAGTTCAAGTCTAAGCAAGGTAGGTTTGTAAACGTCACTCGACAAGGTCCATTTTTCAAATTATATGTACACGTCCCTCAAGATGTTGTCTTACCTTAGGCTCGAGATGAGGATGGATCCATGGATCCTTTCTTAAGGAACTCCATCCTCTTCAGAAAGAAGACTTTCGGTAGCATGTTGGACCCTCAGAGGAAGACTGGAGTCGTATGTACAACACAACCAACTCGGGTCTAATGGTTTAATAAATAATTTGTCCTTTAAGTGGTTTGATGACAGAAAATGTTTCTTTTCCAGGTGAGAAGTGGTTATGATGGTTTAGGAGGACGCACTAAATTCATCCAACCCGTATCCTTTTTTGATTTGAATCATTAATTTGATCATTGATTATTTACCAGTTTGGTGTTGATTATTCATCTTGACTACTTTGGGCTTACTTTTAGTGGAATATTAGTTAGGGATGTCCCAATCAAGGTTTTTTATTTTCTTGCACTGGTGTGGTGAGTGTGGTTGTCATCAGCTCTCCTCTGCTGTCTGTCTCTCCTCCAACCAGCCTCACCCCCAACTGCTCTTCCACACAGAGTTCGGCGGAGTGGAGGAGAGGCAGACAGCAGAGAGTTTACAACGGCTGCACTGTACATGAAAGCTTTGTGAATAAAAACACCTGTATGACAGCTGACAGGATGTAAAGCTGCACTAATTTATATTTTTATACAAACTTTTTTATATTAGCTCAGATAAAGCTACTGTACATGACCTGTCCAGACCCAAATGGCAGACAGATGAAAAGCCAAATATTTTTTGTTAGTGGAGATCAAAACAGAGTTTAAATATTTGACTTGTACATCTGATTTTCCTACAACTTTATAAAGTGATAATATGTTAATGTTATGTTTTAAGCTGCCCCAATTGGCCAAAAATGAATGCAGCTTTAAATAATGAAAAGTACTTGTATTATATTTTCGTTTTGGATATTTTCAGGTATCAGAAAATAATCATGGAAGAAAACATCAATGTGTAAACTGCATCATTCCTTAACCAAGTACTCCACTGCAGTCTCCTTTATCAGAGATTCGCCCACTGATGAAAGCCAAAAGGAAAAAGGTAGCCAGGCCTCCACCCAAGATTGCAACTTGCCTGACTCTGGACAGCTTCCTCGAGTAAATGGTGCCCTCTCCTTCCCCCAGATGTGGAGTCAAAGGTCAGGATGCTGCGTGTGAAGTAGCATGTTTGTGTCGCTCTGGCACTGAGAACCAGCCTGGCAGCGGTTCTGCCACTTGGCACCAAACAGGACTTTGTGAACAAACTTAATTTAAAAGCAGTAACTGACCTCCCCGATGACGCTCAGCAAATCTGCTGTACTTTTTTTTTTTTTTATTTGTGACGACTTGAACTTGTATGTGGACAGATCAGCCTTCTCTTGTTGTTATGTTAGTGTGTGTGTGTGTGTGTGTGTGTGTGTGTGTTGTGTGTGTATGTGTGTGTGTGTGTGTGTGTGTGTGTGTGTGTGTGTGTGTGTGTGTGTGTGTGTGTGTGTGTGTGTGACAAACCTACTTATGAGGATCCAGCGCTCTGTATTATGTCACTGATATTCACTGCTGCAACTATTGTCAACATTCAGAAAAATACTCAGTTATTTTTCACACTTAATTTAAAACCATCTCCTTAAACACCTACATGTGGGTATCCTGTAGGTAATTTTTGTTTCATGGTCCTGTCAGATGTAAACCAACTCAAATAATAAACAATATTTTTTTTTATTAAGGTTTGTGTGGGGTCTACAAACAATTCCCTCTTGACTGTGACTTTTATTCACAGATATTTCACTGAGGTGCGCTCTCCTGCAGAGGGCAGTACAACCAGCATTTTCTCACATGAGGACATGAATCTCGCAGCTCTCCTGAACTGTGAGGGGAAATGCACTGCACGTGCTACTGCTGAATTCATTTGTATTGAAAAGGCTGCGCCAGTACAAAGGAAATCCTGAAGAAAAAATGTCTTTTAAAACCCCATCCGTAAAACCTGAGTTGTACGTTGTGAACAAGTAACAACAAGAAGTACACTGCAAATAAGGGACTGTAGTTAATTTTACCCTTAACTTGTGTTAAATGACTAATAATGTTTGCAGAAAAGAGAACTTGTAGTGGTAGAGGACCTTTATCATGGCACAAAATCTATCAAATACAACTGATGACGTGAAGCTTTCTGATGAGGTTCCCATGCATGAACGTAACAGTAGCTTGTCTTCTGGCATGTTGCCTTACAGGCTGGCCTTCAAGGAGATTACTTGATATTTTTGACAAACAATATGGGGAAATGCCAAACATTGTTTTCCACTGGAGTAAAAGTACCAGGTTGAACATAAATATCCGGTTCACAATCACCTTGCATCCTGTTTGCATTCACAAATGTACAGTTACCACAAGGAAAACCTGCTTGTACTATAGTAAGAATGGCATACATAACACTAATTTAAATAAAATGCTTTGTTGCATTAGTGATTAGACACTGAATGGTTCTCCTGTGTGTGTGGTTATAGTAATGTGATTGATTATACCTTCCCAGGGGATTGTATCAGAAATAGTAACAGGACATGGCGGTGCATTTCAAAAGCTAGTTCCTTCCAGTGCAATCAGAAGAAAAAGTGACACCCCAGACAAACAATATTTCAAAACATTCATGGACACACAAAACATCCAATCCATGCAGTGCTTTTGGAGCCAGTAAACAACGCTTCATTGACCTCATGGGTTTTCCACATACATAAACATTTTCCTGTAGGACAAAGGACGCCATTTAAGCTTAACTTATTTTTTTTCCCTAAACAGCATTTCCCAGGGAAAGTTAAAACTAATAACACCTCCTTCTCAAGTATATGTGGATGTTGTTACAAAAAGAATACTCTTAAATGTCGCAGTTCATTCAGTACAGCTCAACATCCTTCCACTTCTCTGTTGTCCATTTTAAGGAAGATCATTTCTGTTCCTTTTTGTGCTTCCTTCCAGGTTTAGTAGATCTGAGATATCTAAGTAAGTGTGAGAAGAAACAACATCCAGGAACGTTTTTGCTGGCGTTTCAGCCCGGGAGGAGGGGAGAGAATCCAGACAAAACTAAAGTAAATGCTGATTTTCACATCAGCTGTCTCAGTGTGGGCTTGTGACAGTGATGAAAACATAGACCCAGTTTCATTTCTTTTACTGTGATCTGTCCGGCACGATCTTGGACTCTCCGTTCTGTTTGTCGTTGGACTTCTGGGACAGTTGCGTGGTTACAGTGGCTGCCTGCACCACGGCTTTGAAGCTGCGCTTCCTCTTCTGGACGTTCTGCTCTGGGTGGAAGATGATGACGTAGACCTTGGGGATGTAGAGCATGCCCAGGGACACGGTTGCGCTCAGGCTCATGGACACTGTCAGGGTGGTGGTCTGGATGAACATCTGCAACAGAGACACGGCAGGTCAGAAATATCCCTATACGCACACAGTTACGGAGAAAATTATCGATTCATTTCTGCTCATTTCTCATTCCTCATTCTGCGAGTATCCACCAGTGTGCAGTTAATAATGGATTATATCAGCTTGCACATGTTCAAAAAAATACTCTATATGTCATCTCATAGGTTGTCACAATGCAGTCTTTACAATTTTAATCTCAAAGCACAGTAGGCAGTGTTTTTCCTCTGATGAATGATTTATGACCTGGTATATGTAGTCAGGAAAGAAGGCTCTATTTATGGGCTTTGACCATGTCTACTCCTCACTGTTCTTCCTCTTATTGCGAATCCAACAGTAATAATGAGAAGTGACTTCCACTGAGATCTGCCTCCGATAAATTATGAACTCATTATTCAAGCAAACTGTACAGGTCATAAATAAATCAAGCCATATGTGACATAAATAAGATATATTTGTGCCATAAATAAGTCATAAATTGTATACTATCTTCAGCAGCAGCACATCCTGGTATCTCACGGGGTGATGTCCATGCAGTATAGTTTCTTTTATCATCTCCGTCATGCTTTTTATTGGTTCCTCTCAGTGACCTCTCCATCTCTAAAAGAAGCTGTGGTGATTTATGAGCACAAAGTGGATTATATTCATGTGCTTGGCCCGAGGCGAGCACAGACTGGCTCAGGAACAGTGCATGGTTCTTCCATATGTAAATACAGACATCAGGCAGGTAAATCACCTCCTCCTACACGTGCTCTTACACATGATGGATGGAGGATAACAGCCACTATTTCAGTAAGCCAGACTAAAGTTAAAGTCTATATTTAGATATTTTTCCAAGTGATGATTAATTGAATGGGATGGCTGAATTCGTCAACGAGGGGTCCCCACCATCCCTCAGCTCATCTGACCTCCTTTCTTTCCCTCCCTCCCACCCTTTTCTTAATTCACTTCATTTCCATTCGGAGGAGGTGAAAAGACTTTGAAAGCACCTCGGGCTTTAATCATTTCAGCCTGACTGATTCATAATACAGTTCTCTATTAGTCAAAGCGTATCTCTGTTTTTCAAATATTCCCCCAACAGTCTTGTACTTTGTGACGACAGAAATACCCCACAAGCTAAATTAAACTCTCAGTACAGTGGAGGCAGGATGTCCTGTGAGTAGAGCAGGAAGCAAATATGAGATGACAGGCAACAAACTCAGATTACACTTGAACATCTGAGAGACTCATTTACTCTATTACTGTAACTGTATTACATTTATTAATTTTGATTCACCAAGTTACTTAAAAAAAATCGTACATTAATATATTGTACCTACAGTGAAAAGCCTCCCAAAGGACTTTAACAAAAGTAATTTACTGATATTAATGTTATATTTAATTAATAGAGTAACTTTATAATTTATAATTATATTATAATTTTATATTTTTTATAATAATTGAGTAATATATCAGATTATTGACAGATTATTATATAGATATAATAAATCAAGAACCAACTGGTGAATAAAAATGTAAACAGAGAAAATAATCCCTCTTTTAATTTTCTTTTTAAAATCAATGCTGCAAAAACATTCCCTTGTTCCAGCTTCTCAAATGTGAGTATTTGCTGCACTTCTTTATGTTATATGATATGATGGCTTTGCATTTTGAACTGTTGGTTGGATAAATCAAGTAATTTCAAAACATTACCTCAGGTTTTTTTTTACTATTCTCTGATATGTTGATATATTGGGAAAATAATATGAAAATTAATTGATTCTATTTTTAGTAGTAGTAGCGATATCACACCAAAAATCCAAGAAAAGGTCCTGCATTTGGTTTGTCTTTTAAGTATAGATGTACAAAAGTGTTAGAGACAAAATATACATTTTTTTGTATGATCTGCTGCAGTATTAGAATAAAGCAACATAAAATTAAAGTACTCTAGTAAAGTACAAGTACCTCTAATCCCAGGAAAAGTGACCAGTAATGCCAATAATATAAAATCAAAAGTTCCAACCTTCTCCGTAGACTGCGCTGTGCCAAAGAAGATGGGTACAAAGGCCAGCCAGACGATGCAGGTCGTGTACATGGTGAAGCCGATGGGTTTGGCCTCGTTGAAGGTCTCAGGAACTCCTCTGCTCTTTATGGCGTACACAGTGCAGGTGATCATCAGTACGATACTGTAGCTCAGACACAAGATGAGGGACAGGTCGGACATGTCACACTTGAGGACCCCGCGGGCAAACTCTGGGTTTGGGGGCTTCTGCTCCTCGTAATCGATGATGGTGTGGGGGGGCATCACGCCAAACCAGATGAACACTGCGAGTACCTTCAGAGAAATGAGCGTTAGTTAGAGTGCTACAGAGGATCATGGTGATGTGTGTGTGAAGGAAGCATCTACATTCATACCTGCACTGAGATAAGTATAAAGGTGATAATCAGCTGAGAGGTGGGACTGATAAATTTCGGGGGTGTGACCGACTTCTTGCCCTGTTCGAAGATGCGGTAGATTCGGTTGGTCTTGGTGAGCATGGCGGAGTAGCTGATGCTCATGCCGAGCCCCAGCAGCAGCCTGCGGAAGGCGCACACGGCGGTGCTTGGCTCAGCTATCATGAGGAAGGTGATGAGGTAGATGAGGAAGATGCCCGTCAGCAAAACGTAGCTGAGCTCTCTGCCGGAGGCCCTAACGATGGGTGTGTCATTGAAGCGGATGAAGGTGATAATAACTCCGGAGGTGGCCAGGATGCCCAGGATGGCCAGGAAGACAGGGATGATGGCCCAGGGAGAGCTCCACTCCAGCTTGATGATGGGCGTGGGCCGGCAGCCTGTGCGGTTCTCTAAGGGCCTCATGTCAAAGGGGCACATGTCGCAGGAGAACTCATCCAGCAGGTACTGGTAGCCATCGCAGAGTTCGCAGTGCCAGCAGCAGGGAACGCCCTTCACCATCTTTTTCCTCTCTCCGGACTCGCAGGGGAAACTGCACACTGACTCAGGGATCTTACGGTCACCACCTGACCACTGCATCTCCTCCGACTAGGGCGGAAACACACAAACATTGTCTTACTATACTTAATATACTAGCTCAGTCTTTGTAAAAGGCTAAAAACCGCTGCCCGTTAAGCTGTGCAGACACTGTTCAGATTAAGCTGGATTTTAGATTCTGGCACAATTAAGTTAGATCTCTGGCAGGTCAGAAGTGTTGGTTGGCTGTCTTGCAGTTTGAGCAGTTCCATGGTCACATATCGTATGTCTTTATCTCAGCCAACTGCATCTCCTTACTTTTCTTTTATGCTTCTTACTTTCCGTTCATAGTAGAATCATGCGGCCTTTCTCTCTTTTTGTTGAGGAACATTGTTAAGGAAGTGTGAGTCAACTTTATTGGAACTGTCGATGGATAAAACCAACTGGGGACATCTGGTCAACTGACCCATACAGTGTGAACATAAAAATCAGTTCTAGTACTGTTGTGTACAAAAAGGCCTTTAAAATGTGTAGTGTGGGTTAACACAATGTAAAAGTTCAATAAAAGTGTCTGCACAGCTGTAGTGGAACCACAGTCTAAGAGAATAAGGAACCTTACACGTATGAATTTATTGGCAACAGTTAGGGTTAGGGTTTTTTTGGGGGAAAATATGCTTACTTGCTTTCTAGCAGCAAGTCAGCTGAGAATATCAGTGTCATGTCTGTATGCTAACTATGTAGCTAGAGCCGGGAGCTGGTTTGGTTAACTCAGCATAAAGGCAAGGAAACAAGGAAACCACTAGCCTGGCTCTTGCTATTTCCAGGAAGGTAGTGCACCTGGCCAGGGAATAGTCCGGCACATCTTTATGCTAAGCTAAGCTAATTGGCTGCTGGCTCCAGGTACATAGTTAGCTTACATACATGAGCTAGAAGTAGAAGAAGTTCAAGTTGTGCTTTAAATGGACCCCAAAAAAAAGAATATTTACATTGAGTCGGAGGTGGTTTGTCCACTGGCCGATAAGCCTGTAGCCAGGGTTGCTGACATTAGACAGTTGATACTGGAAGATGTCATAACGTCCAGGAGCGTCTCCGTTCTCATTGAACATCACTCCAGTTCCTGCGCTGCCTGTTGATGGGAACAGAGTTTTAATGACCTGTACACTATCAAAAAAGCAAAGAAGCGAGTCACATGGGATGAAGAATTCAAGCTCTCTAAGCTGGAGACATGAACCCACATCTCTTGTGGCGGAGAAAACTCCCACACACTGTTGAATACAGCTTGTGTTTGCTTTCTTCAGTCTTGTGCAATCATGTGAAAGCTGAGTGCAGGATGCTCTTTAGTGAAGGCTCTCCTCCACCGAACAGTCTTTCAGTGCACTCTGCTCTGTTGCCCTAACGTGATTGAATGTTCCTCTCAGGTCCCTGCAGGCGCTCAATCAGAAAATCTTCCATACAAGCCAAGGTCATCCAGCAAGAGGAGAGCAGTAAATAGGATGCTTTCATAGAACACTTTTTTTTTTTTCCTTTTTCCAAACAGTTTTTTTATGAAAGGGAGGATGAAAAGCGGGAGCGTTGTGTATAGGGAAGAGCGAGGAGGCAGCCCTAGGGAGGGGACGTGCTTTGAAGAAATGTGCTGTGTTCTGTAGCTAGGTACATTAGCAGAAACATCTCAAGGCTTACGACTTCAAGCTGACCTCCCCTCTACTTTTTTAAAAAATTTGCTTTGCTTTTCAAACCTTCTGCAGTGATGGAGAGTGACGGATTTGCAAGGATCACTTATGGTTTCAGGTCTAGTTTGATCAAAGAAATGAAAATTTTAAGTCTCTAGTCTAAAGAATTAAATATTGCATGAGAAACACACACGGATAGAAAGTCAAAAGCTCACCATTGAAGTTGACAGAGCGAATGTATTGGAGGAGCATCCGTCCTTCCACAGGGTCCATCTTCTCGCAGACACCCATGTAGCCAGGACACAGGTCTATGTGCATGCTGTGTAAGGCGTGGGCCATGGCGTACACAGCATCAATCACAAACTGCACCTTGCCCTCCTGTTCGTACTGAGAGTTTTGACTGATTCTTTCCTCACCTGACAGACGACAGAAGTATCAAAAGCGGCAACAATGAAGAGACAAAACTGCTCACAAATACAGAACTACGATAAATAAAAATATGTAGCCTGCTTACCTGTACATTTTCTTCTACCAAGTTCATACTTTATGCCAGGCCGGGTTAGTTTGCACTTGAAGTCGTCCTCCCAGAATTCTGCAAACCAGATGTTTCTTCGATTGTTTTCCAGAGATCTTGAAGTGAAGTACTGATCGAACCCTGAAACGTTTCAAAAACCAAATTTCATTTTTTATAGAATTGTCATGTATGCTTTGAAACTACAGTGCTCAAATTGATATCAGCATATCAATAATCATACTGTGCTAAAATCAGCAAGGAAAATCCAATTTCTGCACAATAAAATATGGCTAGGACTCAATCTTAGTGACAGTGACAGTGACAGGACGGTAATATTGCCAGCAGACTTATCAAACATCATTCATTTCCTTTATTTGTTGCATTGGTATTAGACTCATCCATCAACGTCACATGTCGCAGATAGATAGCCTACTGCATCCAGTTGGTTTGAGATTTAATAAATGTGCCCCACCATCAATAGAGGCTCTTTTTGGTAGGATGGTGACAGCGCCCTCAGCCACATCCTCCAGGTCCTGAATGGGGGAGTTTTTGGCCCCCCAACTGTCGGAGCCAACAAACAGGAAGTGGCCAGTCAGGTTGGCCTTTTTGGCAGTCTGTAACACCCGTCTGAAAGAGGACAAATTATACTCCATCACACACTTTACTCTTCTGTGTGATTATCATACAGGAGAGAGTTAAATATGAAACAGTATTCCTGTGCTCATTGTATCATCAGGCTGATTCCCTTTCTCTAACGTGCAGCCGAGCTCGACTCACTTGATGTCGTCCTCGTTGGCAAAGATGATGACCCCACGAGCATTAGAGGTCTCCATCAGTCTTTTGATGATCTTCTCAAATTCCCCTGGTCTGGGCTCTCTGGGAATCTTTATGGACTGTGCGATACACAGCCCCCCTGTATCAGAGACATTGGAAACATGTTGGCTTTGCTGTACATCCCTGTTTTCTCCCCTCATTGCACAGTGAAATAATTATGTATATAATACTTCTGAAACCTCAAAAAGTAAATTATAGGTTACAAAAAGGATGAGATAGCATATAGTGATATTACATAAACCTAGATGTCCATGTTCCCCTTCAGGATAAATGGTGATCCTTAATTTTCATCTAGCACCACCATGAGGTCAAAATTGTATTTTTTTTCCCCAATACTATGTTTGATGACTAAATACCTTAAAAACGAATTATAATTTGATCAGCCTAATGAGCAAGTATTAGCCCAATAACACACTAAACCAGCATGGTACAGTAATGCTGTATCTGCATTGTCATTGTGAGCATGTTAGCCTGTTAGTGACAGCATCAGCTGTAAGTCAGTATTGAAACTAGGAAACATTTCCAAATAACTAAATGTTGAAAGTTGACCAACTTATCTTATCTATCTTTTAGCATGTTAGCATGTTCACATTTAGTGCTTATCAGCATTAAACTTAAAGGCTTAAAGTAGCCTACAACAGGAGCAGATGGGAGTGACGGTTTGTAGGAATTTGGAATAAACCAAAATGTTGGACAAAATGAAATTATAATCTGATGATGGCTCTAGCTGAAAAGTCAATTGTTAACTGAAGTTAAATAAATTACATTCATTTAAATGGAAACATGCATGTGTGTACCAAATGACATGGCCATTCATCTAATAGTTATCAGGGTATTTTACTCAAAACCACACATCAATGGTGGCACTAGAGGAAAAGTTATTACCATACTGTACATCCTCTGGGGACCATGAATGTATTTACGAAATTTCAGGGCAACAAAATACTTTATTTATCCCGAGGGAAATTCAAGTCCTGTCAAACACTGTCCAGCATTGGCAGTTATTGATGTATGCATATGATTTTGAATTTGAAATCTGAACCCTAGTAACATCATTTGAGCTTTTAAACCCATATGAGACGGTGACTTCTGTTTGCCCTTTTAGTTCTTGTGTATTAAAGGATTTTTCCCCCTACTTTAGTCTTTTAATGAGTGAGAACAGTTATGTTAAGCTAACAACACAGCTTGATGAGTAATCCCTTTTTGTCACAGCCATGAATGCACATTCATACAGCCAGACACACAACCTGCTTCTCTGGATATCTGGAGGAAGGCATCGACGCCACTCTCTCCATAGTTGCCCTCAGAGGCCAGTGTGGAGACATAGTTCCAGCCCATGGCTTTGACGATGTCCACCATGGCCTGAGCCTGGTAGGAGTCTGGAGGCACCACACGGGAGAAGAACTCATAGCGGCTGTTGTCGCTCAGCTCTGGGGCAGTGGAGGCATAGCTGATCTGTGGGATCTGAGACACAAGAATGGGTCAGTGGTTACGAAAAGGTTGGGTCAAGTGGAAAACACGAGCAGTGCTGATTATTAGGCCAATATGTGATAGCAAAGGTAAAAAGAATGACTGGAAGAGACAGTGAACCGTGTCAGAGGATGATGCACTACTTACTCACAGACAAAACCTTAACATAGTCTAAATGGAGGCCATCCACATTAATAATGACAAGTTGTAGTCCATTAAAATCCCCAAATTGGACTATCATAGAGAGCGTTCATCTCTTGAACAGCCTGTGTTCTCAGTAATACTCAGAACTGAAACAACTTCACAGTGCGATCTGCCCAGAGCTGTTCTGTGCTGAGGATACATAACGTCACAGTGAAATACAGATGGTAGGACCCACAGCTGTAAAAGCATTTGTTTGGGGAAAAAATGGATGAGAAGATTAATTTACTGGTGTGCTACTTCTTTAATGACACAGTTTATGTCGACAGTCTCAACCCTGACCCTGCTAATGCTAGTCCCCCAGCGTGGCTTAGCGTTGGGCCCTCTGGAGGGGACGAGGAGGGAAAGGTAGACACAAGGGGTAGTGAAGGGAGAAGGAGAGAGGACCGAGAGAACCATTTCACAGATTATCTGGGTGGATTATAGGGGTTTTAGTCAAATTACGTTAAGCACAGAGGGAGAGACAGAGATCAAGAGACTAGAAAAAGGCTAACATTTCTCAGCTGTAAGCCATACAATATATTTAATTCTGATGGCCACATGCAGCTTCAATTTGCTGCCCTGTGTGAACCCCGTCAAGATCAAATTTACTGATCAGTGTCCATGTAACAGACCACATCTTCAACCAGGGGTGAACTTTCTTGAAATAATAAAAAGTGCTTTTATGACCATGTTTGACACGGCCATTGAGTGACATATGACATCAGTGTCCAGAGGAGTTGGTGTGAGCGAGGTGATTCAACTGTTTGCATACAAATTTGTAATGAACAAGAAAACATGTAATCCTCTCCAAATGAATCCCACAGAAGCATCTGCCGCAATTCACTTAGTGACTTTTACTAAAATCAATGAGCCATATCAGTTAACATGAGGATCCACTTACAGTCCATCACTGCTGAAAACTTGTCGCTGTCGTAATGATTGAAACCGTCCACGATATTTCAGGATCCAAGCCAACGAATAATGATTGTGGTTTAGTCCTGACTTAATGGTCTGACTGACAGAAGCATGTGCAGGTACACTTACAGATGTTATAAGGAGCATATATTTATGCGATGCATTTCTTGTAATAATCATCAAGAATGGTGTATTGGAGAATGATCAAATGTTCATTCAAAGTGTAAAATGTGACCTAAAAGTGAAACTTAATGGACATGTTTAATGTTTTTCTTTTGTACTGATTTCAGTTAGATCACTTTGCAACAGACTTGAGGCTCACTGCAGTCTGCGGTTGCTTTGGTTAATAGTTTGGACATTCTGCACTGAAATATTGGACAATATTAAGCAAATCGTCTTATTATAAATAGGCCCACAACTAATGATTATTTTGTCATGTTAATGTGTACAAAATAATTTTGTTTGCTTTTTTGGGGGATATTGTTTTGTATTGTACAGGGTAAATGTGAGACATCTGCGTCATCACTACTAGAAACAAGGAAGTGAGTTTGGTGACATATGGCTCAATGTTTTGTGCAGGAAACTTCAATTACTGGTCAAATTTTTGCAAGGATCAACTGATTCAACCGTAGTGAAAAATCCATTGCAGTTACCAAAGTGATGTTTTCATATCAATGATCAATGGTTAGAAACCCAAAGATATTCCATTTACAGTGAGAAAAAAGCTGCAAATATAAAAAGCTTGAATAATGATTAGTTAATAATCTGTTGATCTACTCATTTATTAATCTGAAACTGAACATTTCAACCATAAATGGTAATTTCTTAAAGGTTTGGGTGACTCTACTGTTGGATCTACTGTTATCTAACAAGCTGAACAGTTAAAATACAAACTGATATGATACACACTTTCTAAATTGCAGATTATGGGCTACTGATTATATAAATGACCTTAAGTTTTCACTTTTTGCAACAAATAGCCAACATGATAACAGTATGTGTGGTAGACACTGAAACATCTCCTGCTCCGGCTGGGAGCAGATGTTCTGTGCATAGTGAACATCAGTCTAGAAGCACCCGAGGTCTGGAGAGCAGCACATATGGATAGTAGGTGGAAACACACCATTTAGCTAAATCTACTCCACACCGCCGCGGCTACAAGTCGCTGTTATCCTTGGACCAATGTCATCCCGCTGCCCTGATGCTCTATTTTCAGCCCAGGGTCCTGAGCTGCTGAGAGGGGCTTAGTGGAGGTTGGGATCTATAATTCTGTAGTTAACATCTGCCCTGTATACAAGCTACCCCTCCTTGGCTCTCAACTCAGCATCCTCACTATAAAGAATGCTTCACCGAGAAGCATCCAGGCGAGTAGAATCTTCTTTTTTATGTCAAACTAATTTGGCCAATTTAACCCGGGCTAGTGTTTATTTTTAGACATTTCTAGATTTCTGGCAGACTGTCAGTAAGTCGGCGAGAACATGGCATAATGTAGGATTTACACAGACTCAGTGTCTCATCATCACTATAAGCAGTGTAATCAATTATCAAAGGTCAATTGTCTGTAAAATAAATAAATAAACCTGTCCACTGAACACATAACACGGATTAGCCTGCGGAGGCCACCCATGACAATGGATTCAAAATCCTTTGAAGTGTGCCTACAATCAATATAGAAACGCATTCAAATAATACACCATTTTAACTGACTCGTTTCACAATCAGATCAGGTTAAATGTGGGCTGAATATGTCTGTACGGCAGCAATAAGGTAATACCTGCAATATTATCAATCTAAGCATCCCCTGAGATGATGTTGTTAAATGTCAGGAGTACTCTAAATCTGGTTTGTAAAATCTATAATTGAACCGCAACTAAATGTAACCATGTTCATGCTGCAGAATGATGACAATAATAACCATGAAAATTTAATGATTCACCATCTAAGAGTGGACCGTGTGCCCCAGTACATCTTAACTAGATCAGCAGCGAGCTAATTTAATATTACAAACATGAACAAGTATGTTCAGTGAAACAGAAAGTAAAAGTTCAGCTACTGTGGTTCGAGCCCTAACCTTACCTGTGTATGTGTGTGTCACAAGTTTTAGTGACGTATTTGTGACAGTTGCACACTTTTTGGCACAGTCTCAGCTCAGTATTACTTCGAAAGTCACTGACTAACTCTGTTTGGGCTTGTGATTCCTTAAAATGACAGTATCCAGAATATATATATATGTGTGTTGTGTGTGTGTGTGTGTGTGTGTGTGTGTGTGTGTGTGTGTGTGTGTGTGTATTTTAAGATTTATGGAACTTCTGCCTAGATTTTCATAGTATGACAGAATAGAGAGTCAGGAAACACTGGGAGAGAGAGGAGGTGATGACATTCCTGGTTCCTGGCTGTAATCGAACTGTTGCTGTTATGTGGAACACATCTTAACCACAACCACCAGGATGCCCCAAGTAACCAGTAATTCAAACAAAAACCAAATATAGAGAAAAGCATAATCGTGTGCAACTTTTTAAATGTGTCCTGTCCCATTAATCATCTTGGCACCCCCCAGAGAAAGAAATCCGCAAGGGATAATTGCTTTCACCTGGATTCACCTCATCAGCTTACTGAAAAGAGGAACTGCCGCAAATGTTTTCGCCCTTTTAGCTCTTAATGAAGACAGGAAGTGAAAGAAAACTCACCGAAAACAGTCTGAGTACATTGGCCACCATAATGGACACAGAGCTGCCAGACGCCCCGATGACCCCGACCACCCTCTCTGGTTTGGGGATGATGGGAGGCTCTCCGTTTGAGCATCGCACATCTGAGTTGTCCTTCTGGATGAGGGCCTGGACAAAGGTGAGCGACTGCTCCAGGGCGTAGGTGTCTCTGGAGCAGGTGTCCAGGATCCTGGCCCCCAGAGTGATGTTAGGCAGCAGGTCAGGGTCACTGTTGATCTGGTCCAAGGCGTACAGCATGGCCTCCAATCGATGGATCCCCTTTTCTCTCTTGACCTCCCCGCACGGCACCCCAGCAGGGCCCCGAGAGTGCACAGGGAACAGCCCACCTAAGGTGATGTCACCCTCGATTTTGATGGACTGGGGCTGGGTGCCCTGCTGGGCCCACGTGCCCAGGCTCATACCCACCAGCAGCACCCAGACCAGCTGAAGCCATGTTTGGTATCTAGAAGGTGAACCGAGCCAGCAGCACTGATGGGATGAGCGGGACTCTGTTGTCATGATGATGACCAGCAGAGGTACTGACAGCACCAGGCCACTCCCTCTACCTGTGACACCTGAGGGCAGTCAGAGGGGGGCTTTAAGGTCTGATCAACATCTCATTACAGTGACAGTATGTTTACCTACTTCTTTATGTCTAATATTTCTAAGTCTACCTCTCAGTAAAGCTGGATATATTAGTTATTTTTTCCACAATGTTTAACCACATCACTTTATATTTTGTTTTTGTTTGGTGTGTTGCAGTGGGAAGCTATGTCTTATATTAAATACAACATGCAATATCAAATAGTTAGAACATAAAATGAACAATTCTTGATGTGTTTTTGACAATTTTATTCCACGTTTTGCAGGTTTGATATCCTTGGAGACTTGGTGTGAGTGTTTGTAGTCTTTCAGTTCTTTGGGGTTTTTTGAACATTGCATGTATGCACAACATGACCTTGTAACCGTAAACCTGCAAACAGATATGTGCTGTTGAAGAGGAAAATGCTAAAATGATACCCCTATCAGGTGACAAAATGTACACACCGGAGAGCTCACCAGAAGATATCACATTATTTACTTTTGTTCTGCTGCAAACTGAGTAAATATAACAAAAGACACACTATAAGATACTGTGTACTCCTGAAGGAGGCTGTAGCTGGGAATAGTCAGCATGCAGGATGACGCTGAGTGAATATTGGAAGCTTTTATCACAGAGAGCTGAGAGCCGTTGATGGAAAACACTATGAATTTTGCAAAACAGAAAACATCAACTGAAGCTTCACAGCATTTCATGCTCCAAAAGTTAGAGCAGGTGAATTTGATCTGCTTGACGATTATTGATAAAATCTGCAGTAAAGTTCAAAATAAATTATTAAGAGTATAAATATATTAAATGTTTCCAGGCAGAATTCAGACAACAGAAAATATTTATTGTGGGGTTCATTTTGTTAAAATCTTACATTATATCCAATTGTCTAATATGTATTAAACCTAAATAATAACAGTTTGCATGCTTACAAATGTACTTGCTTTCAAATTGCAATACATACTTAAATCCATATTTATGATGCTAAATCTTTGGATGTTTTTTGGAAACTAGTTAAAAAGAGTATCAAAATCAGTAAAAGCAAAACGTGAATCCGCAGAAAAACATACAACTGTTGCAGACAATTTTCCCTCTTAAAAAGAAATGAAAAAGAAGATAAATGTCTTCATGCTAAGGCTCTACTTACCTGCCCATTCTTCATTGACCAATCTTGATTTTATCCATCACATGAGCTCTTCCAAACAGGCCTCCATCCACCGTCCGAAATGTGATTATATATCTAGAGGCTCTCCTCTCCTCACTAAAAGTAAATCCTCTATCATCTCAGACAGCCGCCGTGCACTCTCAAAAATAATCACAACACACTGAAAACAAAGGTCTAAAAAAGAAGTAGTTGTGATTTAGAAAGACAAAATGAAAACACTGACTTTTGAGGATTCAGGGTAAAGTATCATGGCAGAAAAGTAGAGGGAAAGCGCAACATTACAGCAGTGAGATTCTACAAATCACTGCCAAATCCCTTAAAAGCTCTCTCTCTCTCTCTCTTTCGTTCTTTTTCCTCTGCGTGCATCTCTGTCCAGGCACTACCCCCCCCCCTCCCTCTCTCTCTCTCTCTCTCTCTCTCTCTCTCTCTCTCTCTCTCTCTTTCTCTCTCTCTCTCTCTCTCTCTGTTGAACCCTCTCCTTGCTCGTTCTCTCAGTGCACTAATGGCCACAGATTGGGATTATCATGCAGGCGTCTGTGAAGAAAGCACTAGGTGGAGTAGCACATTTCTTTTTTTCTTTTTTTTTTTTCATACAGCTGGACCAAATGCAGAAGCCTCCCTCCCCCCCAGTATGATGGAACTCTGTCACTTTGAGAGATTAGATGAGCAGCGATTTGATTCATACTCTCTCTCACACACACACACACACACACTAACATGGCACACACACACTCTGACTCTCTTCGCACACCTGTCAACAATGGCACAATGGTGGAGAATATCAGAGCATGAAATAGGTTTCTACCACAGAATGCAGCTGGATTAGATTTATTATTGATTTGAGTCGATGCTCATGGGAAAAGCAGCCCCCGGATCAGTTTGCAGCTCTTCATCTGTCAATTAGATGGTTGAACATAGTATCACTACTGCCGCCTACTGTACCAGTATAGATAAAGAGTGCATCAAGACTTCCATCATGTGGTGTTAGAAAAATAAAGCACACAACACAAATAATTTCTTTTCCCTTAATCACAAATCTGTTTTAATTTCAAGTTAACGCACTCTATGACGTATTATTAGAAAAACAGATTTAACTGATTTTGAGTCTGGTCAGTGAGACAGACGTCTGGTTTACTAGTACCTGTGTAAAACATGACACTTTTTCTTAGAAACTACCCTAAAAAGACAGACTTCTCCAAGCCATCCTCCACTTTCGTGTACTCCAGGTGAGATTTGAAGTACTGGCTTTCATATCGTGGGCTGCTGCGGACATATTCCAGGTAGTCTGGAGTTCCGGGGCAGATGACGTTGTCTGCCAGCAGGACGCTGCCTTTCCGGAGGAGGCCGCACTCCTGAATAAAGAGCAAAGAGAGTGTTATAGCAGAAAAATAAAGAATTTGATCAGTAGATAAAAGGAGCATAACAGACTTGCCTCCATCAGTTTTGTGTCAGGAAGGTATCGATCCTTCCAGTGATCCAGGAAAACCAAATCCAATGTTTTCACCCCAAACTGTTCCTTCATTTTGGGGATCCAGTCACCGGATGCTCCTTCAACTAACTGCACCTAGAAAGAAGAAACATGCCGTCTTTTGACCTGTGCACACTACAGTATGTACATCATTGTATTGCAGTTTGTGTGGGTACATTCGGTTTTACCTTTTCCTCTAGTCCTGCCCAAGCAATGACTTGACGAGCAATTGCAGCAAAGTCTGGGTTAAATTCAAGAGTAATGAGCTTGGCGTGGGGGGGTAGCAGGCTGGCGATCCGCACTGTGGAGTAGCCACAGTAGGTTCCCAGCTCCAACACAGCGGCTGGGTTTACTTCAGACACCACTGAGTCAAGAATGCACCCTGTGGTAAAAAATAATAAGAATAAATAAAAGACAAAAAGAAGCATACAACTGGGTCAAGCAAGGAAATGATTTTACACATGAAAGCACATAGATGTATAATGAGAAATCAGGACCTTTCTCATCCCCCACATTCATGGCCCACTCTTTGTTTCTGCAGAACTGATCAATGGCTTTGACCACGCTGCGAGGGTCTCCTCTAGTGGCGTTTTTCTGTACTGCACTCAGGAGCCGCTGAGGAGAGGGAAAAAAAGACAGCACCACTTTACAATAGGACAGTTTTATAAAAGGTGTCACAAACAAACTGTCATTAATTACTCATTTTCAAATGCTTTTATAGATTCTTAATAAGCATACATAAAAGGTTGTGACCCCATATTTAAGTAACAGCTTTCTGTTTGTGTCTATCCTCCTGCTCTTTAAATTCTTATAATTGGGACTTTAATAAGAAGATTCCACAGAATAGTATTAGGAGCAACAATTCTCTATAAACCTTCTGCGTCCCAACAGTCACCCTAAACCCTGCTGGCCAAACAAACCACGACTGGTTTTCTGCAGGGAAGTACCTAAAAACTTCAGACAAAGATGCTCTGTTTCTCTTCCTTTATGTGTGTTTTTGCCTAAAGAAGACCAGTGGATGTCATAATGTCATGAGAAATGTGTGGCTACCTCTGCACTTGCTCTGATGTTTGGTATCCAGCTCCCGGCCCACTAAGGTTTCTGTGGATGCGCACACAGCTACCTTTAAATCAAAGACTGCACTTGAGGCAAAATGTGCTTTGATTGATGGATGGGCAAGTTTTTTGTTTAATTCCATTAACAAGCATTACATCCATTTTTACATGTTTCATAGATTTGTTTGTTTTCTTGTCCACGAAGGTACTGAGGCATTACTGAATACATTTGCAGTCTACACGATGTGAAAAGAAAGCTGGACACAGTTTTTTGGATGTAAATCTTAGCAAAAAGCATTAATAGGAAGCCTGAGAAAAGATGTTTTTGTTATTGTCCAGTTACGCCTAAGGCGCTGCGGGCCAGATTTCAAGAGGCCTGTAGTTTTGGAGCAGTTTTAGACAGAATCAGGGAGAGGCAATATCCTGTCTGTGTATATCATGTGTTGACTAAGGCTTAAAATATAAGGCATATGTGTATTTATTTTACTTACTAGTCTACCCTCAGCATGTTTTCTGCTCTTGAACACCTGGTTCCTATCAGCTGACAGTGACCTGCTAGCCTCCTGCACAACAGCTTCTTGTTAACTCATTAAGCAGCCCGTATATACTGTACAGGCAGCACCTTCTCAAAAAGGTTTGACAGATACCTTCTAGCCAGTTGTCAGTCTGTTTGTTCTTTTGCCTAACAGTCGCTGATTCACTGTTTACCTACAGATTATACTGAGCTTTGCTTGCTAAACAAGTGTCTGTTAACTACATTTGACTGTTTGCATTTGGGTCTGACTCTGGCTGTTTTACATCACAACCCTTTCCTGAGGCTCAATATATTTCAATACACAGTCCACCATCAGGTTTCCGGTGAGGTAGTGAGGGTGTTGCATTTAGCATTGGTCGGCGCTTTAATTTACAGAAAGACTGTCAAAGTCTACAGTCCCTACACATCCACGATACGCGCTTTAGCAGACTTTGTGGATACGTGCAGAACAGACTTGACTGAGTTTTGTTGCACCTGTTATCGCGGGAAAACTTGCACCTGATACTTTGGTGTACACAGAGATTCACCACAGCACACTGTCAAACTTATCCTAACTTGGCCTAATCAACCAGAATAAAACTGTGTGGCTGTGCAGGGCCTTTAGAGATTCTAACAGTTCCCAGTCATTACAGGGATTCAAAACAGCAACTTCCCTGTCCTCAACTCTGACCTCCGAGCTACATCCTGCCTTACATCTAGAAATCTAAATACACACACACAACAGAAAACTATTTCATGGCAAACCTTGCAGTACTGACATTTGGTTCTTCATAAAATGTTTGCTTCTGGGTATTGGCCCTGCCTACAAGTCCGATTATCAAATGGAAAGTTAAGGTTTGTAAATGTTCTGCTGTTATCTAATTATCATTTAGTTACATGGTGAACATACGATTAAAAGACAACAGGGCCGAATGCATTTGTTTGTGCTTTTATTAGAGACAGATGAAGAAGCATCAGCCCTAATTAATTAGCACAAAGAAAAGAAGGAGCTCTTTTCAGGAAAAAATGTTGATTTCACACATTTGTATCCTTGCATGCATAAGTAGTGTATATATTTGTGTCACATTCTGGGTGGGTCTAATGTGAAAGGCTTTATTGTCAAGTGAATAAAAATCATACGTGCTGTCTGTCTCTTCCTTTTATAGTTTATATACACTACCAGTCAAAAGTTTGGACACACCTTCTCATTTAATGGTTTTTCTTTATTTTCATGACTATTTACATTGTAGATTCTCACTAAAGGCATTAAAACTATGAATGAACACATATGGAATTATGTAGTAAACAAAAAAGTGTGAAATAACTCAAAACATGTTTTATATTTTAGATTCTTCAAAATAGCCACCCTTTGCTTTGGTTACTGCTTTGCACACTCTTGGCATTCTCTCGATGAGCTTCATGAGGTAGTCACCTGAAATGGTTGTCCAACAGTCTTGAAGGAGTTCCCAGAGATGCTGAGCACTTGTTGGCCCTTTTGCCTTCACTCTGCGGTCCATCTCATCCCAAACCATCTCGACTGGGTTTAGGTCAGGTGACTGTGGAGGCCAGATCATCTGGCTCAGCACTCCATCACTCTCCTTCTCAGTCAAATAGCCCTTACACAGCCTGGAGGTGTGTTTGGGGTCATTGTCCTGTTGAAAAATAAATGATGGTCCAACTAAACGCTAAACTAAACTAGACTGGATGGGATGGCATGATGCTGCAGGATGCTGTGGTAGCCATGCTGGTTCAGTGTGCCTTCAATTTTGAATAAATCCCCAACAGTGTCACCAGCAAAGCACCCCAACACCATGACACCTCCTCCTCCATGCTTCACGGTGGGAACCATGCATGTAGAGACCATCCGTTCACCTTTTCTGTGTCGCACAAAGACACAGCGGGTGGAACCAAAGATTTCAAATTTGGACTCATCAGACCAAAGCACAGATTTCCACTAGTCTAATGTCCATTCCTTGTGCCAAACAAATCTCTTCTGCTTGTTGCTTTTCCTAAGTAGTGTTTTTTTAGCAGCTATTTGACCATAAAGGCCTGATTCACGCAGTCTCCTCTGAACAGTTGATGTAGAGATGTGTCTGCTACTAGAACTCTGTGTGGCATTCATCTGGGCTCTAATCTGAGGTGCTGTTAACTTGCGATTTCTGAGGCTGGTGACTCGGATGAACTTATCCTCAGCAGCAGAGGTGACTCTTGCTCTTCCTTTCCTGGGGCGGTCCTCATGTGAGCCAGTTTCGTCGTAGCGCTTGATGGTTTTTAAGACTGCACTTAGGGACACATTCAAAGTTTTTGTAATTTTCCAGACTGACTGACCTTCAGTTCTTAAAGTAATGATGGACTGTCGTTTCTCTTTACTTAGCTGATTGGTTCTTGCCATAATATGAATTCTAACAGTGGTCAAATAGGGCTGTCAGCTGTGTATCAACCTGACTTCTGCACAACACAACTGATGGTCCCAACCCCATTAAGAAGGCAAGAAATTCCACAAGTGAACCCTGACAAGGCACACCTGTGAAGTGAAAACCATTTCAGGTGACTACATCATGAAGCTCAGTGAGAGAAGGCCAGGGGTTTGCAGCGTTGTCAACCAAGCAAAGGGTGGCTACTTTGAGGAATCTAAAATATGAAACATATTTAGAGTTATTTCACACTTTTTTGTTTACTACATAATTCCATATGTTCATTCATAGTTTTGATGCCTTCAGTGCGAATCTACAATGTAAATAGTCATGAAAATAAAGAAAAACAATTAAATGAGAAGGTGTGTCCAAACTTTTGACTGGTAGTGTATGTTAGTGTATGTATGAGACCAATGACACA